TGTGTCTGTCTCTGTGTCTGTCTCTGTCTCGGTCTCTGTGTCTGTCTCTGCTTCTGTGTTTGTGTCTGTGTCTGTGTCTCTGTCTGTGTCTGTCTGTGTGTGTGCACGTCTATGTGTGAAATGTATGCATGCATGGAGGTATGTCTGTATGCATGTGCACATGCAGGTTTTCTTCTGCGTCTGGACTCCAGAGGATTTGCCCGGCTCGGCTGCCTTCAGCTTTGCGGCCATACCAACAATCTGAACTAGGCGCGTCCGCACGCATGTATGCAAGTAAGTATTCATGCGTTGAACATACACACATGCACCCAGCACCTGCATTGCGAGGAGCACCTGGCTAACGGCACTGTACTGATCGCCCTCTGGGAGCAGGAGCAAAATGTCCTGGGCTTGTTGGGCACACCCTGGTGTTGGGCCTACTGCGCTCGGAAACCTACGCTCTCCAGATTGCTGAACCAGGAGCTGGGACGATGACGAAGCGCAGGGTGAACACTTCCTGTGTCAACTCTGGGAGTCTCAGTGCTTGGATGGCTCAGTTCACACATGACAACGAAGGCTAAAAACAAGTGCCGGAGTCAAAGCCCACAGCATATCAAGCGTCAGATTCTGTCCACGGGCTGTTCATGTTCGTGTCAGTACAAACCTCCATGACACGAAACTGGTAATCACCTGGGTGCAATTACACCGTGACTGATTTCCGGTGCTGACATGCATGGCAAGCTCAGGTTGCCACCACCCTCCGTCAAGCCGGTCGCCATGCATGTTACCACATCCCGGGCCGTGAATATACCTTGACAGCGAGCGGGCTTCGTGCCCCCGAAGCTGCATCCACATGCACCCTTTCTGGTGAGGGGCTGTTTTCGCATCCGACCATCTCGCCATAGGTCGTGGTCTCACCGCTTTTTACCTCCTTGCCCTCGAAGATGAATCCTCGCTGCACCGGTGCATGTCTTCGCACACAAAGTGCCAGAGACATGTGAGTTGCAGCTTTTGCAGCTGGACCGCCAGACCAAGTGCAATCGTTGGCCGTGCCAGTGGCAAACTGGAGCCTCAGTGCAACTGGAGCTTCATGCAAATGAGGACACCACTTACGCTCAGATCGAAGAAAATCATTCAACGGCCAAGGTGCGTGAGATCCACAGCTCCCTCCGGCTTAGGTCTGGAAGGCGCGAAGATCGACAACGGAGAGGCAGCCGGCAGCTCACCTTTTTTGCAAAGCTGTCTCTGTGGCACGCAAAGACTGATGTCCCTCCACAAAGCACCGACAAAGCAACCCTGTATCAGCACCGGCAGGTCACACACAAAGGTCGCTGGGTCCAAAATCTTGGCAGAGCAGGCCAGCGTAGCACCCGAACCAACACCTGGAACCCGCGGAACATAGCCATCGGCACACTGCGGAGTGCAAACCTTGGAATCACCAGTTTTGATGCCGGCAGCTTTGCCATCAAGCAACTAAGCAACATGCTTCAGGAAGGTAATCTGCCAAGGTGCGCTGGAATCCGGAATCTCACCTCTTGCTGCTGTCCAGGGGGACAAGTGCCGACGTGGAAACTACTGCTTCCTAGCCACGGGCGGTATTGCTCTCTTGACAGGCCTTCGGTTGGCCTTAGCAGCTTGGCAAGCCGTGAAGCCAGACAGCGATGCGAAGCTCGTGCAGACCGCACAGCTTCTGCTTGCGTGACATGGTGCCATCCGTAGGACTGACAGCAGAATTCGCGACGGAGGGCTCGTTGCAAGGAAGGACATCGCACAAGATCTCGGCTGCAGGAAAACATGCTGTGCAGGCTGCCACAACCCTTGTGATGTCACGGAAGAAGGAGCGCGATCCTGTTTTGTCCCGAAGAGCGAACTCGTTGAACACGCTGAACACGCTTCTTCGATCGCTCCTGCCCAACTGCCTGCCTTGCAATGTTGTCAATGTCCCTCTCGCGACCAGAGGGCATCGTAAAAGGCATCTGCGGGAGCAATGTCAGCTCGCCACTCCTCGATGGATGGCAACATCTCTTGGGCGCTCTTCCGGAGAGTCTCATTGGCAGTGGCCGACGAGTGCCTCAAAGCGAATTCCACCTCCTCCTTACACCTTCTGCTCGTGCAGCCTGTCAGTGCACTCGTCGGATCAAGGCCTGACTCGATCGAAGCAGCAAGCAGCCGCTTGAGCATGTGGCCGGGCATACGAGGCTCGAAGAAGCGGGCAACTTTCCCAAGAGCCGAAGTCAGGTTGGCCAGGAATTCTGAAGCCGAGATATGGAGAACATTCGCCAGATCTTTCCAGCGGTTCCAATTCTGCAGCATCTTGACGATGGTCCACCGTGCTCGCAAAACCTCAAGGCGAAGGCCTTGCTTCAAATCTTCCGCCTCCAACCGCTGCAGGTATGTGCATCCGAAGTCGCAGGGTCGGAATATCTTCTCCCAAGCTTCATAGTCGCAGTGGTGGCAGTTCGGGGGGTTCGAGGCGTGAAGCCAATACTCGTACTTGGAGCCTTTCAGATGGTACATGTACCCCGAGATGATAATGCTGCTGGGTCGGCGGATGAAGTGGACGATCTTGCCCGTTGACAAGATGAAACGCACATCTTGCGCTATCTCGTGCTCCAAAGGATTATAGATCAACACCAGGCGACCTTGCAAGCTGACGCGCATGAATGTTTCCGTATACTCAACGGAAGAGTTGAAAATAGTGGAGTTTTGCCCTCTGAGGTCATGATCGAAGTGCTTCCTCGTGCTTGCTCCCAAAAGCACAGATGCAAAGGGACCCGGCACCTCGTCGTAGCCGATTAGCTGCGTTGCTACAAAGGTCCCAGTTTTGTGATACGTGACGAAGGCGTACTCGCGGCTGCCCACGTTTGGAACAGAGAAATCGGGCCTGGTGCTCGGCCTCGCAGACATGACCCGGAGCCACATCCTCTTAAACTGGTCTGCATCCTGCAAGAAAGCACAGCAGAACCGCACCTCCCAGTCACTCTTGGTGAAGCAGAGGGCTCTGTGGCCGTGCATATCGAAGCGCCAAGGGTCACAGCAGCACTCCCAGAGATGGCTCGGGCTCCGCACCGCCAAAGCTGGAAGTGCTCGGCCCAGGCGGCGAAGGGCCCGCTGGCATGGCCGGGGAGGGAATACAGGGACTGGGACTGGATGCGGATCGACTGCACTTGCCAAGCTGGAGGACATCTTTGTCTTGCCTCTTCTCCTTGACCTTTGCATCGAGCTACTGTATCCAGGCCGTCCACGCGGCTACCGGCCGTGCCCGCTTTCACGGTCTGCCGAAGAAGCCCGCAACACGAAACGCAGTCTCCCGACGATCTGCATCACGAGGCAGTCTCGCATGCCACATGTGGCACCAAGCCGGCGGCTTCCGGCTGAGGAATCTTCTGCAGTGCTCGAGAGGCGCGGAGCACGGACCATGGTGTTGCGAAGATGAGGCTTGCAAGGTGTCTGTGGCGCAGGAGTAGCTGGACTTTACAAGAACTCGAGCCTCATCTGCACGTTCTGCAAGCTGACAAGGCCTGCCCGACTTTGGAATTTTACCCAGAGTGTAATTACACCATATGGCAATATAGTCCTGAACTGCCTCTGGGCCCAGAATTATACCCAGAATGTTAGACCATACAGGAATATAGTCCTGATGTGAAAAACCTACACATCACTCGCTCAGCTTGATGCGAAGCCCTCGAAGCTGCGACCCATCTGTCACACTGTGGATGACAGATACTGGACAAGCTAGCATCCTGAAGATTGCGAGCACTTGGCTGCAGAACGTTAGCTGCATCTCTGATCGGCTCAAGGTCTCAGGAGCTTCTGTTGAATTGCAGGCCCAAGTGGCAAGAGAGGGATCAAACGCGGACTCGTAATCGGTGTCTGACTTGGTTGTGCAGGTATGAGTTGGATTGCGCGGCGCATAGCCAAAGTTGCAGGCGCCCCTTAGCCGATCCGAGTGCTGCAGGCATGCAATGCATTGCAATGCTACTGGCCTTTCTCTTCTACACAGCGACATCGCAGCAGCACACTGAGCCAAGAACGTGCACGTGGTGCCATGAGCAAACGTCGTCCCTTCCACACAGTACCCGGTGGTGTCGTTCTGATTCACGACTGTAGGCACCGAGCAGTTTGCCTTTACTGTGACTGTCCGTGTTCCAGTTGTTGACTGCCCGGCGCTGTCCGTGCACGTGTATGTCACCTGCAGGCAGGACGGTATGCAAACACTTGTCCGAAGGCTAAGTCAAGTGACGGACATGCTCACAACCTAAGATGCCGAAAACCTAACATGTAACTTGAATTCAGCGAGGGCTCAATGTAATTCCCAGCCGTGTTCACATCCACGACACTGTTGATGTTATCCGTCGGGTCCCCCATGTTGCCAGCATCTTCAGAATCAGAGCAGCTCACCTTCGGCAGGCTGTAAGTTGTAGCACCCAAGAGGAACCAGCTGACACCATCTTCGAGGTAAATGCTCGGAGCTGTGTCCACGCGTCTGCAATATGCCACGTGCCGGTCAGTGCCGTTGATGATCATGAAATAGCGCCCTGCAGACTCATCAGAAATACGCAACAAACAGCGGAAGAGCTGAACTCTGAAACGCCAACCCTGGCCTGTGCAGAGCGTTAGAAATTGACAAGTGCCATTGGTGAAGAAAGAGTAGGCCACACATTCGGTGCTGTTCGCCGACAAGCAGAGAGTCTCACAGGCGTCATAGTTCGCCACGTTCTCTGTCCTTAGACAGAGTGGCCGTTTTCACGAGTCGCTTTCTATGAGTAAAACAGGAGCACACTAGGAAAACCTCACCAGGTGCTGTGCCATGCATCTCTTTATAAATCGTGCTGCAAGCAACGCGGTTGCCGCCATAGGTTCCACCGGGGTTTGGATCTTCACATCCCACCTCCACGGTTCTCGTGACAGAAACATGCGCACCTGCCGAATCATAGCCTGGGCTAGGCATGCACATCCGGGACTAGAGTCCACAGAGTCCACAGTCCACTCCGAATTCATCCCAGGTGCAAGTGTACGTCACCTTGTAGATTGCAGGGTCGTTGGGCAAGACGGAACTCACCACTTCCATCCGCGCCAGTGTAGAGCTTCCAGTGCTGGTAACAGTAGGCAGGGAGCTTTGCTTGCACAAGCGGTTCCCACTGTGAGAGGCACCTGGGCAAAGACCCGTGTCACTCGATAGTCAAGACTACTGAAATGCAGCCAGGAGGGAGCATCTGACACCATTACTTACGACGGTGGGGTGCGACGAACGATTCAGTCGTGATACAATCCGTTTTGCAGCAGTAGTCGCCTCAGATGTTGCACATCGGCACATCATCAAACACTGCCACAAATCTTTCGACTATAAATCGCCACTGACATGCAAACGAAACATGCTCCAGTCATGCAGGTGGCTGCCACAGGTCTGTGCCTCGCACATCCTCGGGAGATTGGGCGGACATCGTGCAAGACCACCCGCCGTGGAGCAGCAGCCCTCTGTGTTGCACTCGCTGCCATCCCCACAGCCATACCTTGGATCCGGCGAACTACTACACAGGCAAGCGCCAGGGGACGTCGAGTGCACCATCTGCGAAGATTCGGCTGAGCTGCTGGTCGTCGGCGCTGGATGGCCCGAACAGCCAGCTGCACGAGTCTTCGGGATCGATCGCAAAGGAGAGGTTCGTGCAAGTCGCACCTGTGCCTGAAATAGTCCACTGGCTTCCATCCAATGGCGGAAAGCTCTCTCCTCCGCTGGCATAGGCTTGCTCTACCCATTTTGAGTCACGCAGCACCCATCGCTCGGAACCAGGAGTACCCAGAGTTTTGCCGGCCACAGCTTCTGTCTGTAGATGAGGTCCCGTGCCTTGATCTGTACGCAGCTCATTGTTGGAGCCAGGCATCTGCGTAGAGTACATGACGCCCAAGGCGCTGTCGTTGTGTCCTGCTAGCTCCAGTGTGACAGCATCAACTCCAGTGCAGCTTGCTGGTGTACCTGTGATATTGATTCTAGCAGGTGCTGCGGGCCCGACCGTGCCGTAAATGGTGAGCTCGCACACTTTCATAGTGGAGGAACCAGACCCAACCAGCGTAACGAAGCGGCCGGCCAAAGGAGCATCGCACTCCACTATCGAAGAACTCCCAAGCGAGGTCGTGATGCCAGTCTTGCAAGCAGGACCGACGTTAATGTCGGGCCCGACTAAAATGCTGGCTCCGGACACGGTTCCAGCCAGTGCATACTGGTGGACAACTTTGCCGGCACCCAGGTCCACCCACAAATACACCGACTGCGGCACCTCTACGCAGGACTCGCAAGCTTGAGTGACTGAGCTCGCCTCGTCGCCATCGATGATATTTTCTGCTGCGCCCGATGTCACCGTCCCACTTGCACCCGCTCTCAGCACAGGCAGCTTCTGCGCAGTCCCCAAGCCAGTCGCTCCCCAAGCTGTTATGAGGCCATCCTCAATATCTGTGCAAACTGCCCCAGCCTCTACATACAGGTTATCCAATACCGACAGTGTTTCAGCATCACCTGTGAGGAAGATCTTTGGCACGTTGTTGACGGTGAGAGTCCGCACGGCACTTTCAGACACGCCAAAACTTGTACAGCTGTAGAAGAGCGTTTGCAAGCCGCTCCAGTCGGAATGTGCGGTATTCAAGATGCTGGAGAAGGGCAATACCTGATTGTGGCTATCCTTACAGCAGACCCCAGGATCCTGAAACGTCTCTCCTTGGTGGCTGGGAGTCAAAACAAAGGGCTTCGACTGACTGTTGGGCCCTGAACCCATCTAGTCTATTCACAAAAAAATCGCCCTATACTCAACACTGACTTGCTGTGCACCGAGGCACCGAGAAGCAGGACAATGCCAGAGCTGGGACCCTGAACAATGGTTCCGGGCAGGCCGCTTGTCACAATCACGGTCCTCAAGGCAATTGTTTCAAATTGTGGCTGCCGCGACTCGCAACGCAGTGTTGCTTGCTGCACATGGCAAAACCAGCTTCCCACAACCAAACTTTTGATCCCCATTGTTGCATTCAACTTTGTAACGAGATTAAAAACCGCCGCGAATCATGGTCGACTTTGGACCCTCGTCATGATGATGGCAAGAACACTCAAACTTGCCGCGGTATGTTTTGCATTGCATTATAGGATCCATGTGCTTATGGCGAAATGTGGAAACGGGATGCAAGCTTGCAGTCTCCTCTTTGGGTTGCGAGTATCCGCCGAGACAATCCCTAGGCGAAGTCTTGTCAGTACGACGATACACTCCAAGAGGGGATATCCTCGGCAACGCAAACCTTGGAGAGCTCACTGACGCGGGACGCGGGCCCGGAAAGCGGGGGGCAGGCAGGAGCAGCAGAACTGAGGTGGGGGCAGCCACGGTCAAAGCTTGTTGAAGTCCATTGTCAGTGAACGGTTGCGTGGACCCCCGATAGAAGATCCTACATTAATCCTGCAAGAAACGGTGCATAACGGACAAAAGCTGCATATGCTGGTTGCTGAGGGACCTCCCTCAAACGATTGCCAACGACCAACGAGGATTCCGAAAACATCTTGGGTTGTCGCTCCGAATGCGGAACCTGCCAGCAGGCGGAACTAATCCTCACAGTCGCACCTAGGTGTGGACTTCAACACGAGTACCACATTCCGTCAACCTAGGCTACTGCTGACCTAGAGTGTCCTGACATGACCTTTCTTGCCAGCTAGAGAACATTGCTAGGACACTTTGGCGAAGACCACTCCGAACCCAAGCCCAGCACTCAAAAGGCCTGCGAGTCTTGAGGCGGAGGTCCGACGATACTCAGGATGCTGCCACCCCTACAAGTGCTGCAAATACGTGCACCCTCCTCCCTTGCCCGCGCGAACACGCCCAAGCAGCCCCAGCCCGGCACTTGCAAGTCTGCAGAGCATGCAGAACATAAAGCAGCACGTCTGGTCATCCAGCCCAAGGCGGTCCGCCAAGCAAACCCCAAACCTCAATGAAGATGCTTGACAAACTGCCAGGTTTGAGTCTTCATGGCGGCTTAGCATAAGTGCAAACGTTGCGAAGTCGGTCCTGGTTGCGGTCAGGGTTGCAGAAGTACTGTCCGTGCACGTATAGGTGACCGTATTCGTGGCGGCCGAGGTTGTGTCTACGGGAGAAGGGTTGGCTGTGTGAGCCAACAAACCTCCGTTGACATCAACACACTGTACACCCGGGTCGTTCCATGTCTTGTCCTTTTCGATAACAATGACTGCGTCCCCCTTCAATTCTATGGCAGGTGCAACTTGAACATAGCGGATCTTTGTGGAAGTGCGGCTGCTGCTGTCGGTACATGAGTATGTGAATGAATACTCGCCAACATTGTCCAACGCAATGCTTGACGGTGAAGTGGAAACAGCCAGCGGGACCAAGTCTCGGTCGATGCATGCTGCACCAGGGTCTGCCAAGGTTGAGCCAGCCGATTGGCGGACGATCATGGCCTCTAGGCCTACCAGCTCGATCGGATCTCGAACTTTCACGATGACAGTCCTTGTTGTTGGGATGTTGTTCCGACTGCAGGTATAAGTCACTGGGAAAAGACCTTCGCTGGCAGTCGAAATCGAGCTGCTGCTTACACTCACCGTGCCACTCCAAGTACCAGTTGACTCCTCCTCCAAATAGCAGGCCTCCGCAGGCCATGCGGTCCAGGTGCTCGGCGCACCAAACTCTCCACTTCTGATGACCACGCGTGGCCAGAAATCCTGTACCAAGCACTTGAAGGCAAGGCCCTTGACAAGAATGATGGCGTCGCCTGCATCCTTGATTTCCAAGACGTCCCCATCCGTGAAATCGATTGTGTACGTCTTTTCTGACTGTGTGGAGTCAGCGGTGTCTACTTCATTGCCGCCGAGGAGTACCTGTACTTGGTTGTTTGTGCCCGACACAGAATTGCCATTTCCATAGGTCAGATCGAGTTGCCCATATCCCCGGAGGGTGACACTAATCCCACCGGCATTGGAGCCCGAAGCAAAGCCCCTGTACCAGCCATTGAGTGTAGAATCCGGAGAGAACAGGTCGGCGTCGTTGTCACTGTCAATGGTCCAGCCAGCCTGTTTCATGGTGGCCGCAGACTCGAAATTATTAAGCTGCAGGCTGCCACCACACAGAACAGACCTGCGCTGGAGAACTGGCTTTGGTTGGACGTGCCTAGCACAAAGCTCCAAGACCTTCGCTTAAGCACTTCCAAAGCTAAGAGACTAACGTCTTACAGCAAGTGATGCAAAGGATCCGACAAGCTCCTGAAATCTATACCTGCGGCGAGTCGCGACTCCGGAATCAAGCATGAGACATCATCATGGTCACGACAAACTCTCCCAGCTTCCAGCAGAGTGCTCAAGCAGCAGATGTCCAAGGCTCCGTTGTCGGAACAAGTTGCACCTCCACATACTGTGCAGGAACTTGCACAGCAGTACGATGCTCCATCCGTTCCGCTTGGTCGAATACCACCGCGGCACCATAAATCCTCGCCACACCGAGCAACAAAAGATGTTCCGGCGATTGTGACGGAACTGGTGCCGAGCGTGAAGTCCAAGTCCCCATCCACGTAACCCAGTTTGACCGTGTAAAACTCTTCATCCGATCCTTTCAACGACGTGATCGTGTTGTTGTCGAACTCTATTCTAGCCAGCAGCACATCTGTTGGGTATGGGATGAACTGAGTCCACGTGGCCCCTTCCAAGTACTGCCACTCCACACCTGTGAAGCGAGCACAGACAAAGTTCTCCGCAAAGGACGTGGCGGTTGATTGCCATCTTGTTGCACGAGATCCCTTCGTGAACATCAGGAAACCCAATCGACTCTCCTGCCCGTTATCATCCTCGCACTGTGCACCACTGCCAAGAGTTCCTACACTTCGTGTGCAGGTGCCAGGCACCACAGAGGACGCATAGTCCTTAGCACGTGCCGACAATCAAGACTACACATCCACAACGAAACTGATAATCTTGCTTGGCCAAGGGACGTATATGTAGAAGTTGCCCTCCACACCAGTGGCGGTTGAAGACGAAGAGCACTCCGATACGGGTATGCTGCTGTACTGACCACTTGACGCAGAAGAAGGGCCTGATGTTCCTGGAAAGCCTACGTCTGTACTTCCAAAGCCGCCGTACTCAGACCACGCGTTTGTGTCTGCGATAGCATCTGCAAGGCTGCTGTAGATCTTAAAATCTGTCCCTCCCTTGTTGTCTGTCTCAGTCCATTCACAGGCCATCTGCTTGTAAGCAGAGAAGCCACTTGGCATGTCCGTGAGACGTCGATAGTAGACGTCTTGAAAGCCAGCACCACAGGATGAGCAAGTGCGGCGAATGATGCGAAAGAGGCTTGCCGCGAAACGGGCGTCAAAGTCCGCTTGTCCCAAGCTGGGGGTGCCTGAAGAGCTGATCCCCAGGTGAAACTCCTGACAATCTTAGCCGGGAATGAAGTGAATTGAAAGTCGGTTGGTGCACATCTCGGCGTGCTGAAGTCCTGCCGGTCGCCCGCCAAGAAGATGGGGTGTCGAATCTCTCCTGATACACGACTCAGAAGAGAGTGGGCAACGCAGCCATTGCCCACAAGGATCTCTAAAGAACAGCATGTAGGCAGGCAATCAAGCCCAACCACATGGTCAGCAAGTTCGCCTAGCTTGCTAGCCCTGGCTATGCCCACAGTCCTGAGCGTACAATTAGTGGCACCCCGGTAGCACAGGAAGGAAATGGGTAGGAGACGTAATTCTCAGTGTAGCGATCGAAAAAGTCCGAGCTGACTGGCAGCCGCGAGGAGCCTTGCAGTCGGTGGCATCTCATGCGGGGCCATTCACCCATCTCTTCCATGTGCTGCTAGGAAGCTCTGTGCTGTTGCCGTCAAGTCCATGCAGGCCCATGTATCTTCGTAGTGCGCCGCAGGGGATCCTAGCTCAGTTCCTCGGCTCCGACAAGAGAATCCCCGGTGCTAACTGTGCTTGTGCACTTCATCCACGTTGATGGGGTTGCGCGCGATGGATTGCATGCAAAGCATCCCAGCGCCCACACCTTCTTGGCTTCGTTCTCAAACCTCAAAACAAAGCGAAACCGCAGCACACGACCTTGACTTGTCCTCGGGCCCAAGGCCTGTGGGGAAATCGGACCTCCACGGTGCGCTGCAGGACCGGGGCCGCCCGTCTTCGACACTCGTAGTTGATGACGTAGGTTCGCCTCGCAGGGCATCTTATGAAAAGAACAAACCGATGGTCCCTCCATCGCAGCTTGGGCACTCCGTGGTGAATGGAAGATAGTCCAAGTCCACACTTGGCGTAAGCTCCTCGCCCTCGTGAGTGATGCATGTGCTGCCAGTCTCGTAAGATGTGCCGCTCGAGGCAACGTTCCATTGTCCTGCACGTTTCACACACATCCCCTGACTGTGAAACCTGAATACTCAACTGAGGGTTGAATTGCCCGGCCTGACACACCACCCGGAACCAAGACAGAGGAGCTGCCGACCAAAGATATCGAATCCCGGATCTTCACGGTCCGCGTGTAGTCAGGAGCTCCGGTGCACGAGTAGGTCACGACAGTCTCCGATGAATCCTTAGCAAAATGTTTGACTGCATCTCTGGCTTTTGTAGACTTTCCTCTGACCAAAGTTTGTGCAAAGTACCAGATTAGAGTAAACCATGCCAAGGCTCAAGTGCCTTGATGATTGAAGGGCTCAGGGATGGTGTCTGCGCGGTCCCTGCATGGGGCGAGTGAAAGGCAGACACAACCCCGCCAAGCTCTTCAAGGTTTGTCGGACCAGAAGAACCGAGATGGTGCGACCGGGCACTTCCATACATGCTTGCATCGGCCGCTCAAGCTGACGAGCATGCAAGATATGCAAGCAAACATGGTCGCATGGGTAGGAAACTTTGAGCCTGTAGCGTCGATGCAGTCCACGGTCACATCGGTTCGGCATGCCTCTTCAGCTGGTGCGGCAACATAGCCACACAGGCAGTCCGCGTCGGTGCTCGTACCTGGCATGATCAAGGTCACGGCGTGCCTACGGTGAACAAGGTAAAAGAGCCCGCTGTGGCGACGCAGCAGCATGGAAAAGCAGGCAAGCGACTGGTTGAGCTGCAGACCATGATCGCAGCTCGAGCTGCCACCACATTGTGAAAAGTCTTCGCGATGATGCGCCTTGGCTGTCTGATGTCAACTTAGAAATTGGGATTCTCCGGCATGCAGACCAGCAGCCACCACTGTGCTTCCACTATGGACGGCAGCATGGCCTCAACCTCCGTGTTCTGGTCGGTGTTGGCCGTGAATGTGCCGGAGACGTCATTCCAGCTCGAGCCATCGGTGGAGTAGGCGACGGTGTAGGTCTTCAGCCATGCTTCCTCGGTCGAGTGGCCCTTGGTCTTCACTCCTCATGGCAAATTCAATGCATCTCAATGCGACACAAGCTGGACATGAGACACTGTCACTGGGTCAAAACGGCCCGTCCTGCCACTTTGAGTGCTGAACCCAGATCCAGCTGCAAATAAGTGCCCTCTCCTTTGTCATTGCTGGCCTTCCAGCCCGTAGCCGTCAATGCACACCTATCTGTCGTAGTGGAGTTGTCATCCGAATATGAGCACGACGTTTCTCCAGGATTCGTATCCGTCGTGTCGCAGATCTCACCTAAGGCCGTCTCTCCGATTTCGCATGAATGAAAGAAAGGCCCCAAGAATGTGGAACCTTCCTTCCCCGTAGCCTTGAAACTTTAGCTTGGCCAGGAATTAGCAATGGCTCTTCATAGCTAGGGCTCCTGGGGACCAAGGACATTGTGAAATCCAAGCTGCAGGCACCAGCGTTCCACCGCAGTCGCCCACTGCGAACCACATGGGGATCTGGACCATACAGACCTTCGAAACCCAAAGCGTATTCGCGAACTGCGCTCGAAGGCGGCAAGCTTAGCCAGGCTGCGGATGGCATCCCGAATCATCAAAGTCCTTTCTATCTTCTCGCTGGTCAAAGAGCAGGTGTAAGTAATAGTGCGGTTTTCCTGGCAGGAGAGAAGAAAACATCACGCAGGAGAGAAGAAAACATCACACCGACAAGCGCGGCTGCACATAGATTTCCGGGCTGCAGCCTCGGTCACTCCGCCGGATGCCCCATTGTAGAGCCGGGCGCTCGCATCCCACGTCTCCGACTGATGCATGTCAGCCACATCCGCGTCGAATGTGTCCTGGTCCAACAAACCCAACCTTCATCCTACACTCCAGACACTATGAATGCCGTTGGGGCACGGCCGTGTCCCAGCACTTGGAGACCGTGTCCGTCCAAGATCCGGCCTCGCGCTGCACCACCCAGTACCTGCAGCGCGCGGCGCGCGCACGCACGCCATGAGTATGGTGAGCAGTGCGGCAGAATCAAGGGCAAGATGCAAGGCTGGGTTGATGTACATGCTCTCCACGACCGTGACAGTCCGCGTCTTTGTGTCCTTGTCTATGCCGTGAGTTCACTGCGAAACATGTCAGCAATCTGGGCAAGCACACAGCCTACAGCAAGCATGCTCGGTTAGCAAAGGTGCCAACACCGTGTTGCCATTGTTTTCCGTGCACTGGTATGTGATAGTATATGTGCCTGCAGTTGTGCGGTCAACCGTTCCGCTTGTGGTAACAGGGAGCGCGTCGTCGAACTGATCCTTGCAAGTGGAACCGGCATCAACCCAGGAGGCTGTACTGTGAGTTGTCACCGTTGGGGTTGAAGTCCCGGTGAGCGTGAAGGAACCGAGAACACGCCATGTGCAGCACAACGTCTCCGTGCACGACCGAAAGCAATAGTTGCGCCTTCTGGAGGTGTACTTTGAGTCTTGCGTGCAATCCGTTGTGGCACATGTTGGCCACTCCTCGCAGCATTCCGCATCCGTGCAGCTGGCAGTGCTGCAGGTGCCTGATTTGCTCGAATCACGGCGATATCCTGGCCCGCAGGTGTACGTGGAGCACCAGTTGCTGAAATTGGTCAGATCCTCAGACAGGACAGTTCGTGTATACACCTTGGCTTGCTGAAGGCTCCCACTCCATGTGCCCTGTTGAAGACCACCTCCATACTCAACACTTCCATCTGTGGCGCTGATCTGTGCTGCACAGGTTGGCGACACCGCGGCACCGTTGAGGTAAAAGGTTGATGCCTTTGTGCTGGCCGTGAAGGACAGAACAACATGGTTCCAATTGGCCGAAACCGACGTCGCACTTGTGCTGCATCCATCGGAGCCATCCAGTTTGTGCTCAAGTTGGACGGTGTTGGTCGCCGTCTGCTTCACGAAAAAGTTCAGGCCGCTGGTTTGGGTCTGTCCGAAGATCGGGTAGAGTTCATTGGTCGTGAGGGAACTCGCCTTCCAGTAAGCCATGAATGTGTAGTCGGACAGCATGCCCAGATTGCTCAGCTGGCCCATGGTCACGGCCGTGCTGGCCATCTCTGTGTCAAACTGATAGTTCAGCTCCGCGGCCTGCTCATAAACTTCCTGACATGGCAGACGAAACCTCTCGCCGCCTCGCCTCTACCCCACATCATGCTACAGCCTGGTCTCATTTCACTTTACTCGCTTGTCCGATCGAGCAGCGATTTCTGCGAAGTGCACTTGAAGCGCGCTGCTGCTGATGCTCGACCAAACTTTCACATAGCGAATGGGACGCAAATCAAAGCGAAACACGCTTCCAGAACCCGACTCCACAGCGCTGTAAGTCACGTTCGGCGGATCATCGTCATCCTCAGTGGCACAACCATCCAAGAAGTCATCGCTGATAGACGACTACCGACTAAACTGACTACATCCCGTATGTGATTGCTGTCGACACTTCCGCGCTCTGTCGGCAGGTGTCGTGTTTCACTTGGCTCGGCCGTCGCAAGCTGCGTCAGTCACAGTTGAATTGGCTTCAGGGCGATCTGTTTTGCTTGACCCCCGAGCATACAACCTTGAAGCTGCCCCGGGCGATGCAACCCCGAGTGAGTACACCGCTGTCCCACAAGTGAACCTGGCTACGTTTGGCTCCTGCTGCAGCTGGACTGCGTAAGCTGTGTTTGCCTCATAGACCGTGGACCAGGTTGTCCCATCGCTGGAAAGTTCCAGAGCCCGGCCACAATACATCAAATTCTGGCATCCATAAACCACGACCTTCAAAGGCGCAATCTGGGGCTGGGTGCTGTCAGACAACTTCTAATAAAAATCCGGCTGCTCACTTCACCAGCAGTTTGCGGAGCTTGGAGCAGCTCGCACCTTGTTCACCAACTTCGTCGGCGCGTCGTTCGACAACGTGGCTCCTGATCTGAGGAAGGAAGGAGCGGCCAGAAAGACCGAGACAGAAATGGACAAAACAACATCCATGAGTCCTAGATCAAGCTGCACCCAGTATTTGGAAGTGCACAGCTCCGTGGATGCTGTCGCCACAGCACCCGAGAATGTGGCACTGTCCGTGCATTTGCTGCCGTCCGTAATCTGCGTGCCTGGGTTCTTCAAGTGATTGTTTGTTTGGGGGTGGTCTCTGGCATCATCTTGCATCCAAGCTACCGCAGTTTGAAACATCCGCATGACACGTAACGCCTGCAATGGCGGCCGAGCCAAGCCCCCGGAATAACTTTCGATGTATGCACCCCCGCAAACTCTGCTTTATGGCGGCAAGCTAGGAATCATCGGTATACGTCCGGAACTGTTGCATAACTTGCCTGCGTTGGTGGCATGGTTCCCGGAAGTCCCAGCTCTCAACGGGCCACATGTCACCAGCCCTGCACGCATGGCGAGGGCGCCATTGACAGTGGACGGCCAGATGCGAACATAGCCTCAGACTCGCACCAGCTCTCCCAACCTCTCTTTTCGTCCGTTCTTGTCTCGCTGCCTCCCTCCGTTCTGCTCGCTCAAGCTCTCGCACACATCGGAGGCTGTGCTTGCGTCTGAACAATCTCCCGTACTCATGTGCGCTTTGTCCTAAACTTGTTTGCTCCAACATCGCGTAGAGTTTTGAAGCAGCAATGGCCTTCGATGAAAGCGGCACGCCTCGAGCAAAGCACCACTGTAGCATGATGAAATTGTCTGGCGATCGACTTGTTCGGGAAAGTGGAAACCCAACGTCAAGGGCCGAACCCAAAGCCGAAAAGCAGCAGCAACCACAGCCATCACATGGCATCCTCACCGCATCCTTAACCAGCCCGATCACCGGCTCCATCCCAGATTTGTTGCGTCGTAAGACGACACTTAGCTGAAATAATTATTGGGTCGATGGCAAGAACCAGCCATCTGTCCAAAATGGCCCGGCCAACTGGGCAGACAGCATTACAACTCTTGCGAGTCGCTACGAGCAGCCGTTATTCCATTTAGACAATAAAAGTGTTCGCGAGTTTTGGCTGTCCCCCTCTGGCGTGATCTTCTTCCTCGTCGTACTGGACACTGGAAACTCGCTCGCCATACGCCCGGCCGCCCCACATTCTTTCCCTTGTACTCTCCGCACTCGGAACGATCACTCCCCCTCTGTCAATTGACTATCTGTTAAGTGTGCTCTCTTCTTCTCACAAGACTCGCAAAAGCCCGCAAAAGGGGCACTCTCTCTCTGCCTCTCTCGGTGTCCCTCCCAATCTCTCTCTTGCATGACAACTGCTCATGATTCGTGAGTGGTTCCGAAAAAGAAAAACTACGCGCCCTTCTAATAGCACAACTTTTAAAAAGGAGATCCCATTGCAACCAACCACGGGCCCGCATCGGCAAAGGAAATCGGGCCAGCTTCTGAGTCGTCTTGTCACCTGCAGTGGAAAAAGTGCCCGCGATCGGGGCGTAGTTGCTGTTGTCCTCACCTCAGATACCACCCAGACTCGTCTAGCCTGTGCTGGTTACTATCATCTAGAGCACGATCGAGCTCTGACAACAACGACCCCTTGACTGAACTGTGCCAGCCACTGAAGTCCACCTGCCCAGGGCCGGAGTCAGTTGCACATGCCTTCAACCCTCGATGTTCGGCACCTACACTCAGGCATCCGGGGCATGCGCAGCCTCGAAGGTATTGACCCAGTAGTCTGCACTGCCACTTCCCTGTGTAATAACGCCACAGACCTTGGACGATCACTGGATTACCAAAGGGCAGCCAACCGTGCCCGAAGATGCGTCCAGGACGAGGAACATAGTAATTGTTGGAGCCGATGTCGATAATCATATTTTCATCGCTGTCAGTGGCAGCTCTCCACATTTGGTCACTGCTTGTGTCGTCAAGAGCTCCTGCCCACACCACGAGCACCACTGCACATCCGGTGCTGAAGTTGATGAGCCCAACAAAGCCAATCGAATCCGTGATGACGCATCTAGCTCAAACTCAGCCTGTCCTATTTTGGCCGTGTCCGCAAATGAGCTTGAATAAGTCCTTCCAGATTGCACTCAAGTGCACCGTGACGCCTAGCAAGCCCAAGCAACCCAGGGCCTTTGTGAAGAATCACTCGTCGGATTCACAAGCTGCGGAGCCCAGTTTGCAGGGTAGCATTCGCACCTGGTCCACCCGACATGCACATCTGCCACTTCTTGCGTCAACAAGTTCGGCTTCATGCAACCTGGACACACTTGGTTGTTCAGTGTCTCGTCACAGCCGTACCTGAAAAGCAAAATCGGAAGCTTTGTGCATACTTTGAAGGAGCCAGCCACGAGCAGGGCGCCTGGTTTGTGTCTGATATGCCTTAAAGCGTTCAATCTCTGACAGCCGTCCGCGGTGTGAAAGGAAAGCATTACTCTCCGACTGGTTTCAATCCGAGAAGCTGTTGTGGACACCGACAAGGCACAGGAGCCACTGGATTGGGCTGCTTTCAGGCACAGCATCCCATAGGCGGCACAGTAGGTGCCTTGGAGATTCCGCATTCTGCGCACTGATTTGGTCAAAGACTGCTGAGGTTTGGGCTGCACGTCTTCGGATTGAGTCCACTGGTATCTGCATCCACCAAGCAGGCACCTCGAGAGAATCAAGATGCCAGAACTAAACTCCTCGCAACCTGGGACCTGCCAAGGAACACGGTCAATATATTTTTCCTGTGCAGACAAGTGGGGTCAATATATTTTTCCTGTGCAGACAAGTGGCCCTTGGTGTGCCATGAGTGCAAATGAGTTCGGCAATCAGTACCTGGAGTCGCGATGCACTGACACGCTTCCCATCAACAAAAACTAGCACGGCTCTGCCTGCCAGAGCATAGCAGGCCGTCAGCTTTGAAACACCGAGCTGCTCGGCTGTTAAGACCTGGCAGAAGAACTGACAAACGCATGGCAATGTATAGGACTTGGGATGGCGCGCTCCGCGACCTGAAGGAAGATGTTCACGTCAGCAATTGAGCCAGTCCATGTTGTTGTAACTCCCCGTTGCAGAGCACCGCCAAGATAAAACCTCAATTCGCCCTACGGCTCCACGTTGCGATACTCTCGTAGTTTGAGCCCGATGCTGGTTGCTCTCGTCCGTATTCAGCGACTCGATGCCCTCAGCGACCCGGATAGGCGAAGTTGTTTAGCGGGCTCCGATTTGCCGACATCTGCCTACGGGGACACTCACGAGCCATGGAGCCGAACATGTCTTGTCCAAATTTCCGTCGATGTAGATCGACTGTGTTTTGGCGTCTTTGTCATAGACGAAGGCCACGTGCTGCCTTGGAGGGGGCAGTGTCTGGTGTCTGCGTGCTGTACATGCTCGTAAACAGAGCTTTGAGCCTGTCATTGCCGAAACCTTCTTTCATGCGCAAAGACACCGCACGCATCCGCAAGAGCAAAAGCAAACGAAATCGCAAGGAGCTTTAGACCCCCACTACGGTGACTTCAGGTTCGCCAGGTGGTCAGGTCGTGGCATGCCGTGGACGCTATGGGGAGTCCATAATGTGAGCTACTAACGCACGGCATTCTCGCATCTGCATATCCGCGACATGTCAGTACGAGCGCGGAGAGCGAACGTGCTCTGCGCTCCAGGGTGCGAAGGCCTTGAACGTGGGTTTCTGTCTTCACGTGTCTTCCCGATGTTTTAAACATCCCTGGTGCCGGGACGAACGAAGTGCAGGGTTCCGCCGAAAGGAGTCTGAGGGACCACATAGGCATCCGCCAAGCTGCCACACGTCTTTGCTCAGGGCGGTGTCCGAGTGGCACTCCTGGAGGTAGTGACCTTTGCTGAGGCTCCCAGGACTTGGCAAGACCTTGAGCTGAACTCCATGCTGCCGAGAAGCTGACATAGTACCGCCCGTCTTTCAAGTTGATGTCAAAACGTGTTCTGTCGAACTGTGCAGTGAGAGTCGTGGTAGTGGTTGAGGTCGCTGTCCTTGAGGTCAATGTTATTGTGGTGACACTCGTTGTTGTGGAAGTGCTGGCGGTGGTCGTCTTGGTAGAGCTTGTCGATGTTGTCATTGTAGCTGTCACTGTAGAGGTCGTCTCAGTTGATGATGAGGTCGAGGTTGTGCTCGTCGTCGTCGAAGTTACTATTGTGGAGGTTACCGTCCTGCTGTGAAGGTCTGGTTTCTTCTGTTCTCCGTCTACGGGCCTTCGTGGGGGAGCGTGAAGCGACAACTGTAAGTCCCGAGGACAAGAGCCGGGAAGGCGCAAAAGGGTATGGATGGAGGTCGCTCCCTCTCATCCCGCCTCTGAACACTGACTGCGACAGAGTTACATACTAGTAGCTTAGTAGCGTAGGGTTGGCGGTGTAATGAGCCTTTAAAGCTGCATGGTTCAGGAATCCTGGGAGAGACGTCAAACACCACCAACAGCCCACGGAAACGTCCTGGTCGTTGAGGTCAGTGAGGTCGTTGTCACAGTGACCGATGTGAAGACGGATGCAGACACAGTGTTGGCCAGGAAGGTGACCGTCCAGCTTCTAGACTGGCAACTGTCGGAGAGGCCAGGAAAGGCGTCAGTGCAAAGGTACTTGCTGGATGACGAATGCTGAAGTGTAACTGACTCATCGACCGTTGCATATTTCCAGAGGCCCGCCGCACTGCTTGTACTCTCCAACGACAAAGTGGACCCGTCGGAAGCCAGGTACGTGCCTTCCTTCACATTTTTGAGTCTGACGGTGCCACTACTCACAAACTCCACCGACCAGAAGAATTCATCGCTCTGCTCATACGCATCCGAGAACAAGGCAGAGTACACTGAGCTCCAATGCAAATAACCTGGGGACAAACTCATCTCACAGCAGGAAGGATGAACACAAGAGGTTGGCGGCAGAACACATTTTCAGGCACCTGTATCTATACATTTATGCCCTTCTGCAAGCCAACCGTGAGGGTAGCTGCGACTGGGACGAACTCAAGAGATTCGAGAGGCTACGGGCCTAGACAAAAACTCAGAAATGCGAACTTCTTTCTGCCGCCAGAAACGGGTCAAGGCCCACACGGTCGATGTCGTTGACGCAGTTGTGGAGGTTGATACCGTTACGGTTGAAGTCGTTGCGGTTGAAGTCGTTTCGGTTGAAGTCGATGACGTTGTCGCCGTTGCGCTTGAAGTCGTTGAGCTTGAAGTCGTTGCAGTTGTGCTTGATGTTTCTGTTGTTGTACTTGAGGCGGTCAAGGTCGTTGAAGAACTGGTTGTCGAAGTCATCGTCACAGTATTTGTGTATGATGTGGTAGAGGAAGATGTGGCAGTGGATGATGACGTAGACGAAGATGTGGCAGTAGTGGTTGAGGTAGAGGATGACGTGAACGAGGATGAGGTGGTCGAGGATGATGTGAATGTGGATGATGTGGTAGAGGATGATGTGGCAGTAGAGGTTGAGGTAGTGGATAACGTCACAGAGGAGGATGTAATGGTCGTCGTGCTCTCTTCGTAATGAAATGTTGCGACACCGTGCATCGTTGCCGAGGTGTACCTCGTGCGAAATGCAGAGTCACGACCGCTTGCAACTGAGCGTGCTAGCCTAAGTACCTTCCGCCGAGTGTATGAAGCTCACGTGCAGACTTTGTAGCATGAGACACCTGGCTAGACACAGCTTGATAGGGCCAGGTCACGACTGATAGTCGGCACCTCACTGCGCAGGCATGGCAGGGTCAGGGAACCGTGAAAGAGAACAAGTTTCTCATTTCGCAGAACCAACCCATCCAAGGAGCAGGGAGGATTCGGGCACACGATGAAATTGTTCCCTTCCTGGGCAGCCCGTGCACAAAGGCTCCTAGAACAGCAGCAGACGACAAAAGCGTGCAAAGAGCTCGTAGCCGAGTCGCACAACACATAGAGACTGTGTTGCCAGCATGCATAGCGCTTCCGTCACAGCTTGCACCAGAACCGTCATCCTTCTCCTTGTTGGTCTTGCAGCAATAGGCGCTGTTTGTATAGTACGCGTACTGGAATTGGTAGGGGCACATACCAGTCGCCATGCGCAGATAGCAAGTCGTGCCTGTCTCAGCAGCGAGGCTGGTAAAAGAAGCCAGGAGCTTGCAATTGTCTGCCCCGCCACCAGCAGCAGCATAGTTAAAGCCAATACAGGTGGAAGAACTCCAGCATTCAAGCTTGCATTGATCCTCTGTTGCATCTGTTAGGCCCGAGGAACTCTCACCTGTGCTTGCGCACTTTAGGTCTGCATGGCTGTCGAAACCGACAGATGGGAAAGAGGTGAGAGTGGTTGTGGTAACTGTGATCGTGGATGTGGTCGCGGAGGTTGAAGTCGAAGTGACGGTTTCAGTGTGTGTTGTTGTCATGGTTGCAGTGACCGTGGTAGTGACAGTGCTACGCAGGTTGACCTCAAAGCCGCTGAGCTGGAGGGAGCGGCTGGCATGCTGGGAGCCGTCCGGGGTGTCTGCAAAGGTCAGGCCAGAACCGCGAAGACGGACTTCGAGCTTCATCGTCTCTGCCTCGGTTCTTAGGTCGATGTACCGAGGGAAGTCAGTTTTACCAGCCTATTGACACGAGGAAAAAGTCCCGTCAAAACCTTCTACCCACGCTGCCTTGATGGGGATCGTCCATTTCCAGTAGGAACTTTGCTGGACCCACTCGGCGGTTGCATTCTGGATATCACCTGTGCAGAACATCAACGGATTCAAACAATCGGCGCATGTCTACATGGAAGTGTGCCAGCAGCCCAGGGCCTGACGACCAACTGCCGGAAGACAAGTCCGATGTCTGGAAGTAGGCTGTGTAGTCATTGCCGCTGGTTGTGGTGTAGAGCGTAACCTGTGCTTTCTGTGAAAAACGGCTGGATCACACCAGGAAACCCTCCGCAACCGGTTCCTACTTCTCCTGCCGCAAACGCGAATGCTTTCCCTTTCGCTCGCCGCATTCACCCTTGCGAACGCTCGCGGGGCGTTTGAGCACTTTGCCAAGGCGGCAACTCCCTTTTCGCAGTTCCCCACACCTGTGTACGAGAAACCTCCGCATAACAGTTTGCGGCCGAGCAACCGAATGCACGCGCGACTGCAGGCCTTCTCCTTCCCAGAGCAGGTCTGGCTCCTGCACTTGTACGGCACTTGTATAGGAGCCATCAAACACCTTCCAGTTGTCGCTGTTGGAACCAGTGTAGTAATTCGTGATCTTCATGTGCACTTCACTGACACTGCTTGTCTGGTGTTGGTAATAGTCTACTACATTGTCAGTGCTGGTGAATTGGCTCGGTGCACTTGCTGCCGTTGCCAGCACATCTGGGTACGAAACCGTGTCAACAGACGGCACGATGAAGTACGTCCCCGAGACGTATACCTCTCCAGCATTAGTTGTGCTGCTGGTGCCATAGGCTTCGGCCACAAATACCAGATCGCCGCTGTTGTACCCCTTGGTGAGGTGGGCATAGTACTCGTCAGTCCCAGCAAGGCTAGTGACGGTGTCCGCCGCGAAGTCTACAGAAGCAATCAGTATGTCAGTGTCCCGGGCGATGAAGCCAATATCGTTTCCTTCATCATCATCATACATCCAGCCACTGCCACTGGAGTATTTCACACAGATGAGGTGGTCTGCCATGTCAGGTGGGAAAGATGTTTGACTGAAGCGTGATCGAACGTCTTGTGCTGAGTACATGATGAAGCCACTCCCTGTGGCTGTGTCTGTACAGGGCACACCCGACCTCGTCAACCCCACCAGGTTCCGGTAGCCCCCGAGGTAGCACATGGAGCTTGGCACATACGATGTCTCCCCATATGCACTGGCAGCCAGCTTGACAGCAGCTCGGACGGTACAAGAGCCGCCACTTGTGCATGTCACAGCCTTGCAGGCCGATTCTCCCAGCTCGATGCCTCGGGTGGCAGGGCGGCTTCTTGAGTCACTGCACCACGGAGACAGGCCCCTCTTTCAATGCAGGAACTTTGGAACGGATCGGTGGGTTGGTAGTACTTCCCTCTCACGGCTGCAAACTGGACTCTAAACGAGTGCAGGATGTCGGTACCCACGAGCTGCACGGGGAATTGCACTGGGCTTTTGACGTTTCGGAGCAACGCTGCAGGCCAACTGCACGAATCAAGAAAGAGGACAACAACTTACGGAGGCAGGTGAAACGAGACTAACCGGACATAGGTCCTGGGCTTGCTAATCCAAAGGCGACCAATCTGAACGAACACCTTTATGAGAACAACCGCACTTGATCTGAAGCGCATTTTTCTTTGGCAGAGTGGAGGTCGAACGCATCGGTAACGCCACCAGCATAGCCACTCGAATACAAGTCCGTGTAGGCGTACCATTGGCAGAGGTCAGTCCTCATGTTGATAAAAGCTGGTGCACTGTCACTTCAAAGTCATTTAATGCTAGCCTAACCGGATCGTTTAAGCACCTCCTGCACAAAGCCTGCACCCTGTTTTGCAAGATTGACAAGAAGTCAACCACGTACGCAAGATGAAGCCAGAATCGTTGTCGTCTGTGTCGTGGTGGTGGAGGAGAAGGTGAGGGTCGTCTCGGTGACGGTTACAGTCGTGAAGGTTGTGGTGGTGGAGGTTCCGATGTGCTGCCCGATGATGATAGCGTCGCTGGGCTCACTGACCCCTTGCTTCAACCACATCATGACAGTGTAGGAGGCCGAATTGAGGTTCAGGTCCGCCTGGTAGCCCATCTCATATGGCAGGCTGCTGGATGGCACTGCTTCGTGGTACGACCAAACCGGAGTTGTGGGGGACGTGAGATCGCAAACGAAGTCCTAGGATCGGGCAGCATAAGTCAAGGCTGGTCGAAGAGGCCGCTGACACGATTCATCAGTGGTCGAGATAATGACAGGCAACACCCGCAGTGCAACCAAGCGACGATGGATTGGATCAGGATGATGGATCCTGCCTCTTGCACCTGCAGAATGTCTCCTGGCGGAAATGGCTGGCAGGGCGTTGAACTCCATTCTGTTATCCCCAAGATCTGCAAACAACCCTTGCACGCCTGTGTTGAAAACCAGCTCAGCCTTCTGCGAAACGGTGTTGGCAGAGGCACTGCCTTTCTCCTGGCCGTTCAGCAAAACCTTCACCGTGCCCGACGAGTCACTTCCATATGTCAGCACCTTAGCACTCATTTCCGGATGCAAACTTGCAGAAGCGACTGGGCAGCTTGTTTGGCATTTCCCTGCGAAACTTACTGACTCAAGCTCGGCACCACCGTGCCATGACCTTGCAACTGCAGAGAAACCATCCCGTCACCCGAGGAAGAGGATCCACGATACGCGCTGCTGTACGTCGCGCTAGCATCCCAGAGGCTGCTGTCGTCCCAGCTGAAGACCCAACCGGCCTGAGCAAAGGGAACATCTGGCACACCACAGCATGACAGCGAGATTGCACAAGTCAGGGCAGCCAGCCACGCCTTCACCATGTCAGATTTGCTGGAAAACGTCTTCACTGAATCAGAACCTCCACACATCGCATTGTACCTCAGCGGCGGGTCACTTTACCGAACGTTTTGTGGGCACCTCTCCTACAGAGGAGTAGCGTTAGTTGCTGGGGGTTCGCGTCGCGTCGTGCCAGCCTAGCCAAGACTTCCAAAGTTGCCACCATGCAGCCATCCGGTCGCGGTGACGGCTCGCCGGCGATGGGAGCTGCTGGCGCACCAGAAAAGAGCGAGGCATCCTCGCAGTCAGCTTTCACCCTACCCCCTTCCCTCAGGCTTCGGCTCGCATCCCTCCGGCCTAGTGTGTACAAAGTAGAGCGCATGGAAGCGCGGAAAATGGTCAGGGCCTCGGATGGCGCTCACAGCGGTTCTGTCAACAGAGGAGCCCGAGAGGCATCGAAATCCGAAGTCCCAGGGTCCGAGAGCCGCAGACCGCGAGCGTTAAGATGGACACCATTGCCAGGTGGCCTGTCCAACGAAGCGTGCAGTGTCAAAAACCGGACACACACACTCTTGACGCTATACGCTCTGTTGGTAGCCTTTCGCCGCCGAAGAGCTCGACATTAACAAGCCAGGGCCCACATTGCCCCTACCTTGAGCCTTGCGGCTGAAGTTTTGTGAGTCCCTTCCTGGCCATGTCACGACATATCAATGCCTTATGACAGAAGTGGTGGTGGCGTCTCCATGCACTTGTAGGTTCCTGTTTCGGAGGGCATCCGTCTATTCTCGAAGAAAATTCGAAACAAATGTTGCAGGCATCCATGTCCTTCCTGCCTTTGTACAAAAGGGGCATGCCCTTGGTGAAACTTCAGAACGACGTAGAATACTTGCTGTAAAGAGTGAATCACCTCACTCCTGTAGACTCCTGTGGTGGAAAGCTCGTGCTTCCCCATCTTCACCGAATTTCGATAGTACCGAAATGTACTCCAGCTTACACCATGCCACATCTGTGCGACGAGTCGATCTCAGCTGGGCACTGCCTCTGGTGGCGGGGCTCTCCCGGATTCGGCGAGGGCGGGCCCCGGCAGAGAAGGCACCGCTCCACTCCGAGGCACTGGTGAGGCAGCCGGTGACATTGTTGGCGAGTTGCCCCCTGCTGCCGCTGGGGCAGCAGCCGCAGCGGCCGCTGCCGCCTCCTGAACTGCCTGTGCATAGGCCTTCTCCTCAGTGCAGTTTGACACGGGATCAACACATGGCGAAACTTACCGACAATGCATGCCTCATTGCAGCACGGCACTGCCTTTTCTGCGGCAGCAGGGCGAGACCTTGAAAGCAAGTGCAGAGGCACCGTCAGCCCAGCCCAACCCTTTCCACATGCTGTTGCTCACACCAGGATCGGCACAGAGACGACATTCGATTCTGAATCGTCTGCGCAAAGCCTTGGTACCTTCATGACTGCTAACGTGCGAGCATGATCAAGCCAGCTCTGACGGAGCAGAGGCAGGCACCTCTCCCGCATGCTGTCGCTTAAGCTCTTGTCCGAAAGCCGGTGCAGGATCACCTGGCTCATCACCAGCTTCAGAACCGAGCTTCTTACTGCTAGGGCTGCGACGATCGATCAATGCTTTTGACGTGGCCTGCAGCTCTTTCGTCATCTCGGCGAGCAGCTCCATTTTTTTCTGGTATGCTTCCTGGGGAGATCGTGTGGAAGGTCCAATCTTTGAGCACCAAAGCGCTTGGAGAACCATACTGCCTCGGCCTTCTTCTCGGCTGCAGAGGCAGCCGAAACTGCAAAAGGATTGGGTGCAGTGATACGTCTGATACAGAACCTACAGGCCATCCCCCGCGCCTCTTTCGCAATCCACCACCTCTGGCTGCCCTGACATATGGCGCTGCTGAGCACAGGCTCCCAGCAGGTCTTTAAAATCGAGTCAGCGGGGCGGTGTCCACTGGGTCCGCCGGGGCCGTGGCCGGATTGCGCGGTATGTGCACTGTGTCCACCGTGTCCTGTGTTCGGCCTTGAAGCTTCATCCACTGAATCCGATGCTGGACCCCGCCCTCATCTGAGACTCAAGCTGCAGAATCAAGCGGTTCGTGATGACAACAAGTCCTCTGTCTTGAGAGCGGTCCCCTGCCTGCCAAACTCAGTTCACTAGTAAGTAGCAAAGGCGCATGACTTGGCTTTGCACACAGCTGGTCGCAGCGAGGAAGCCTTCCCTGACTCCTCAAGCGAAGCCGTCACGGCATTGGGCCTCGGCACCACATCACGCCGACCGCGTAGCCGGACGAGCTTCCCTCGTTGCTTCTCTGTGTTCCATGCGTTAGCATTGCATGGCTGCGGGGTGGCAGCGGCCTCGTAAAAGAAGCAATGACCGACAACACGGGTGGGCAGTCAGGTGAACCACGGATCCGTCTGTGGGCCAGTCGTGAACTGCCCCGGTGGTCTGTCCGGCGGTGCCTGCCATGACGTGTGCGGCAAAATGGCCAGGGTGACCCTCCATGCCCTTACCCTTGCCTGCACTTTTGCAGCCGGCGCCGGGGGCGGCCTCCTTGCCAGAATACTTGCCTCACAAGGCTTCCGAACATAGTTTGGTTGTAACAAGGCGGAGGGAGTAAAGGCCTTTTCCTTCTGTAGCCACGCGACAAACGGCTGAGCCTGGCCGAATAGATGCTGCAGGCACGTAGAGCTGGACCTGATAACTTATGAACCTCCCACCTCGTCGTCCATTAGAGACAACTCCTCCAGCATCTCAGGGCTGGATTTCCTCCTGGACACTGCGGCTCTGAGCACTGTGACACTGTGTTCTCCTGTAGTCACAAGGCCATCTTGGGCCAAGGGGCCGATCTAGGAGCACACAGACGAACTCGGCCTCGCAGGAAAAAAATATACGCTAAACCACGATTCCTCATATGGTCTCAAATGGAAGCCGAAGCACCAAAATGTCTGGCTCGTCGTCGTCTGCTTGCACGGTCACTTTCCTGGCGTCCACTGGCTCTACTTTGGCTCCACTGCACGGGTCTTATCATGAGAAGACAGACCATTGCCATGACTTTGACCTCCAACCGATGCAGGGCTACACGTAGCAAAGCCGGGCTTGTCCTCACATGATCCACAACGCTTTCTTTCAGCTCGTTCTGCTCGGCCCTGACATGCGTGACATATCCAATTCCACTCAGCTTAGACTCACAGAAGCACCATGCAGTAGCAGTTCGCAATCATCTTTTATCTCTATGCAGCGGCTACTTCTTCACAAGCATCCTGGGCAGTCTGCTGTGACTGTGGCCCTGCCCGGTTTTCACGCTGAAGCTGCAGCACATGATAGCCACTCCAGCTGAGCCTTGCTTGAGTCAGAACCCTACAAGATCTAAGGCTGTAAAGCTTAGCCGCGTATTACCTAGGAGTTCGTTGCTGGGGGGACAGTTTTCTGAGAAGCCTCAACTGAAGCCTCTCTTGGCAAGTCGAGCTGAATTTGCGGACCATCTAAGAATTGCAGGAAATCAGAGGGTATGAATGCAATTGTTCAACAAACTTGTTTGACCCCTCATCTGCAACCTCCAGCACACAGCACGGAGGCACGGCGAATGCCTTTGACATGTTCTTGCTAGCGGATCGTTTATCGTCGTGCGTTTCTCAGGATTCTAAAGCTTTCTTTGCGTCGGGCGGGTGGCGGGGTTTGAGGGTGGGGGGTGGGGGTGGGTTTGGGGGTAAGCTAATAACATCCGTGTTGCCTCAGCGTCCTTCCTCCCACATCGCACATCATCAACTTGTCCTGTCATCATGCTTCCGATTGCAAACTCCATCAACTTGTGCAGTCTCCATAGTTGATTCCTCTCAAGCTGTGTGTGGCTCGTGCGAAGCTATGTTTTGCTGCCGAGGTGTCTTGCTCATCCAAACAGTTCGTACTATTTGTGTTGTTGCAGGTCCTGGCGCCCGATTTTGGTACAAATCCTTTTGCGTTGTTCACTCTTCGCATTTTGTCTACCCGGGCTCCAGCTCGCTGCGTTGCAAGGCTCTCATCAAGAAAGCTGGTGCAGTTGGACGGATGTACTTGCATGTACCTCACATTGGCCGCCTGGGTTCTCATGCTATGCAGCAAGCCCATGAGATGGCAGCCGTCATGGATAGACGCTGGGGCTCTCCGCTCTCATCTGCTGTTCAGAAAAGCCAACCGTACAAACTTTGGGGAAAACTGCAAAACCACATTTTTGCACACTGACATCAGCAAACCCTCGCTGTGCGCAGTGTTTTTTTGCCTTTCAACCAAAACAAGACCCTGAAAAAGGACACGCCGGTCACAGAAAATGCCACGCCTGCCATGGTCTTCACGTATCGAGCTCTGAAAACAACGCTTTTTCCGATACCTCTTCTTGAATCAAAATCGCGATCCCGCTGTGACGAAACACTCTTTTTTTTTTGCATCCGTACTGATTAGGTTTAGGACGGAAAGATGGCTGTGCTCAACACTAGCCTTCCAAGAAAGCGCTTCGACGTACTTTCGTTGCCAAAAGAAATTGCGACAGTTTTCGATTCGCGCGGATGTTCTTGTCGCCGTGCGGCCAGTTCAGGGTTGTTCCCGCCCACGTTGCTTGAAAAGGCGATGTCCGATGTGCTTTCATGGAGCTCATAGCATTCCCGGGCCCGGTTTGCCCCTCTGCGTGTTCACTGTGGGGCCTCGACCTAAAGCAGCTATAACAACCCTGCTTCGCAAGAGAGATCCTGCGACTCTACGATTCGGAAAGCCGGGTCACAGAATCTTGCGAACTTCTTCGAAGTCGATCCACGCACTCGGACGCTGGCCACGTCGCGATGTGAGGATCTGCCGTCGGAGTCGCAGCGGAATCTCCTCATGATCTCCAAGCATTTTAGGGCTCGAATCTCTCGAATCCTTACGGGGTGGAAGCCTATCGGAATAGAGACCCACCGATGTGGGCTGAGGTTTGCGCTGCTTTGCTTCGGCTTTGGTCGGAGAAGGGCCTTTCCCAATAGATGTTCTTACTTGGGATTTCTGTCACGATTTGATGTCCACTGGCACTGACCTCTGTGGCATTCGGCTCCATCCACTCACGCCACGCGAAGATCAGTGCATAGTGGTTGGTAAGGTGGAAAAGCAGGACCTGCACCAGAGCTGCAGCGCAGGCTCCCGGAAAAAACATCACTCACAAAGACCACAAAACGGCAAAAAACGCTACCAGGACCCAGTCCAAGCACGCTCCCGGGATCCGCAAAGGCCTGCTTAAGAAGCGACCACTGTTTGCGAACTTCCGGGTCCCCATCTCCTTTCGAAACGAAGGCCGCGGTGTTCTTAAAACTTTGCCGCCTCCCAAGCAGGCACGTCACCTTCAGCGATTCCTTGGCCGGGCGGCGAATGGTGGAATTCAATTCTTGTCAGTCGCGATTGAGCATGATGTAACAACAGGGCCGGGATGCATTGTCGCGTGCGTTGTCGCGGGTGCCAAGCAGCTCTGCAGCTTGCTTCAGATTGCCACTGCCAACTTCGGACGTGTTGGGTTTCTCTGCCCGAAGCCTGCTCGAATCAGAAATGGGTCCAATCAAAGCAAAACGATCTCGGAACAATCACAACAGGACATGTCAGTGCCGTGTTGCGTGTGCGATGCCCTAAGTTCGGCCTGAAAACTGCCTTTCGAGCCCCGAAAAGCTCCGACATTTCCTTCCTCGGCATGCATCTCGCAAACGAACGAAAAACTTGGAAGTCGAACTTTACGCGGTGTTTTGTGGCGAGCTTCTTCCATTTGATTGCTGGGTCATCCTGCACCAGCTCGCAAACCTGAGCAGACGTTTTCCACGGGCCACTGTAAAAGCTGCCGGGTAACACTGGAACTGCCTTCTCGTCATCTTTCGTCTCTTCTTCATCCGGCTCTTGGCTGCCGCCCAGGACTTCCCGGAGGGCTGCGAAAACATCAGTCACCAACGCACACTTGGAAGCCACCTGGCCCTGGCACGATGCCGTGTGCACTGCCGATAAACCCGGAATGGAAGCCGGATTGCCTCGGGCCTCGGCGTCTGCGAGGTCAGGCGCTGCATCCGCTGGAGCTCCTCCAGGCGTCGAACGGCTGAGTCGGCGGACCCGAGAAGGCTTCAGCAATTACCCGAACCTTGTGGGGCACTAGGGGACACCATGAAACACTGGAACTTCTTCCGACTTTCCGCCTGCAGCTTCCGTCTGGTCGGGCTGTGCGAGCAGCTGCTCTTCGGTCGGCGCGAACTCCCTTGACTCTGTCGGCAGCTGTGTGTCTGGACGGACAGACAGCAACTCACCTCCGAATTCACGGCAGTAAACCCGGCGGTAAATCACAAAACGGTATCAGGGTGTCTTGCTGCTGCCGGGCATCGAGTTGCGAGATGAGCGGCGGCTTTCGTCACAGCCGAGGTCCCCCTTCCCATCCAGCTCAAGCCTTTGGCTGCCAAGTGCTCGTCCAAGGCCACGTAGTAAGCCTCTAAACTTCCCTCGGCCACGCCCAGGAGTCTCTCCTGAAGCTCAAGGGCCCGAAGCATGCAAGGCCACTGCAAGGCGGCTCTCCATGTGCGGCGAAGGAGCGATGCGCTGCTGCTGCTTGGCTAGGACCTGCTGCTTGTTCTCCGCCATAATGTTGGCCACCTCACGTATCGTACCTCGGAAAAGCATGCGGCAGCCTCGATGCATCCCACCTCTGCAAAACTGAGCATTAAGGGTGGCACAGGCACCAGCAGAATCGCGGTCCAAATGCCAGAGAGAGTTGTAAGCGCCAGCCACAGACGCAGCAGCGCAACAAGGTGAGGGCTGAGGAACCTTGGCATATGCGTCAACGCCTTTCCACTCCTCCGCTCGCAAGCAGAACAAGCTCTGCACACACGATGGGTAACCCAGCTCTCCAGGACATCGCGGTTGAAGCCACCGCCCCACACCCGACCTCGACCGGCGGTAGAAGCTATCGACATCGGCGCTTCCATCTTCCGGTATGCCAGCATTCAAAGCGGCCAAGCATCGTTTGGACAAGTCCTGACCTGCCCCTTGTTTGGAAAATGCCAGGCCCTCGTCAGCCAAGAGTCTCAGAACCTCCACCTGCCAGCAGGGCAGAGAGATGTCAGTGAATTTTGCATCACTCAGCTTCACCCGCCCGGAACGCCTGCAAGAGACTTGCATCGGCATCGTGCTCCTCGGTCTCGGGTGTTCCGGATTTCTCGACCACCGGCATCTGCCACAGACTGGGCTTTGCAGGCTGATGCGCATCACATGCATCCACATCGTCCAGTCCAGCGTTGGCGGCGCTTTCGGTGTCCTTGGTATCCTCGCCGTTGGAACCTTTCGGGGTTCTTGGATTTCCAGAATCCGTATCTGAGACAATTCTCACCACCTGCGCGTTCTCGGCCCTCTCCAGATGCACACGGATGGTTGCCAATGGGTTCGCGGGTTGCTCCCGCCCCAACTCGACTAAAATCTCAGTCAAGAATGCGCGAATGCCGGTCCTATCGAAATATGCCTCCGCAGCTTTGAAGGCATCCTCTGCCACAAGGCTTGCCATTGGTCTGTCCAGACTCCAGACTACATGGTGGCTTGCTGAAACAGGTTCTGCACGATGCAGCTGGAAGTCGCTGGGAGTGAGAGTTGCTGGGCCAACTTACATGTGCTCTGCACGTACCAGTTGTCTGCAACTCAAGAGTCGCACACGCACCCCGAGCACGTTCGTGACACAAACATAAGTCCTCTCACGGACGGTATGCAACGGCCCAATCTTTCAGCGTGGTTTCGCGCAACAGGCTTCGAGGTGCAGCTCCGACAACTTAGACTGTAAGGAGCTTTGTCCGTCCAGAAAGGTCGAGCTCTAACACACTCGAGCACATGCGGCGGACTACACCGGAAAGCTTCCAGCATGAGTTGCTCACAGCATCTCTTCTGCGCTATGGGCGAAAGTGCACCACAAGCCTAGCAGCTTCAGCCAAGAAGTTGTCATGCAAGCACATCACCATGCAGTGTAGGTTGTTCAATGAGTTCAATGCGAAACAAGCCAGCCTTTCAAGCAGCCATTTCCCGCGTGGATATTTTTGCACATGACCTGCGCAGCCATCTAGGTCCTGGAACACCTAAAAGCACATGCCTGCAAGACTTCAACATCTGAGGCAAGACACGCGCGGCTTGAAGCCAGAGTGCAGGAATCGACTGACCCCACAAGTCTCAACAGAATTTGGGTGCCTGAGGCTACTGCAAGGCTGCCAGTGAGCAACCGGACAACCACAGTGTGCTGAGCCCAGGATAATTCAGATCCGGCGCAGCTCCAGTACTCCGTGAGCGAAGCTGCAGGCGTCCCCCTTCAGGCATGCACTCGGGTCCTTCAACCAAAAACTGCATATTTTGTTGGGCTTGAAGTTCGAGTCCTCGAACCGTGACCTGGGCTCGACCCTAGCACTGGGAGCTGAGAGCAGTTATGAAAAGATCAAGGTGAACCGAGGGGCGCTGAGGCAGTAGATGTCTGAGCATGACCGTGTCCGCTGTAGCTATTGCTTGTGGTGGGTCCACTGTGTCCGCCTTTGGCCGTGTTGGCTGCACTGTTGTAGAGTGCCACGGCCTGGGCCTTGCCCTTGCCACCCTTGCCCTTGCCCGCCAGATCGCCCACAGCGGCCTTCGTTCCGAGCAAGCCTCTGGTCAAGCCAATGCAGGCTGCTGACAACTTGCCACTGCCCCACCTGTGAACGCTATCCTCTCGAGGCTCGCCTGCACATCTGCCGACATCTCCGCCAGACCTTACCAAGTGATTCTGAATTGAAGAACCGACGGCACGGCTGCTCTCTGTCGGATACGCGGCAGCATCCTCTAAGTGCGCCCGGCTGCCATGCGCAAAAGTACATCCATCACCATGAGTGCAGTAGGTGGGGTGCTGGATCCACATCTTGCACAGTGCTGTTGGGCGAATATCACCATGGAACATTCGAGGTGCCTCCAAAGAGCCTGGCAGAGCAACAGGGATTGAAGCTGTGTATGGAACCCTTTTTCGAGCAGATCGCTCCGTCGTATGTCAAATCATTTCGCCCTGCCTGGAAAACCGGAGTCAATAAGTTCGTGCTCTGGTTCTCGATACAGCTGCGGCTCTGTGGGAACCGGCGCTCCAAGCTCCTTATCACGCAGGGCTTCGCATAAGCAAAGAAGGGATTCTGCAGGAATGCCGAGTAACTTCTCCGGCCAGTAAGTCGATCTCTTGCAGATCCTCAAGTTCAACCGCCTCGCCTTAGGGAGGTGCCACACACCACAGGCTAAAGCCGTTAAAGGCCAGTTGGCGCTGGTCGCCGTCAAGGGGCTCGCCGTTTGAGGCCCTGGGCCAGGGGCCAGCTCTTGCAGAGAGTGGGCAAAGGTGCAAACGTCCCCCTTCTGGCAGAAGCCGCTGTTTTGCATGTAAGTACCTCAACGCATACTACATACTACATGTCCCGACACTCATAACAAGTGCTGAAACTAGCCAGGTCGCACATCTTTCGAGGCACGAAGTTGGGGGGAAATCGACTCGCCTCCCGCACAAAACAGCGAACAGAAAAAACCGATGCACTCCTTTGCCATCGCCTTGCCCTCTTGCGTGGCTGGCATCTCCCACTGCCGCTTCATGGCCGAGGCAGAGCTTCTCGCTACCCGGGCCTCTAGCAAGCCTCGCTTTGGAAATCTACGAGTCATGGTGCTTGCTTGCATCGGGTTTTCTAGTGGGCTTTGGAGGGCAATTCTAGCCACACCTGAACCAGTAGGGTTCCTCGCTCACAAAGTCAGTTTTCCGGGCGTGGGATGTATGGAATGGGACACGTGCAAGCCAAGCACTCCGTGCAAGCCATGGGAGCCTGACGATCTCAGCGTCGAGCGAAGCTTTCAGGAACTGGAATCACGAGCCAACACGAGAAGGAGCCGCTCAGTCAGCTCCACAGTCAGAACGTCTGTAGTTGGAGCCTCAGACTGACAGGGCCTCCATTACAGCAAGTTTATGTGCACTCTGTGAGGTGCCGGCCAAGCCGGATGGCGGTGCCGGGGCAGACTTGGCTGCCGTGCGCCGTGGGGGCGGAGCAACTGCAAGGCAGTGGCGCTACTCCGCTACTCCATCAACCCCTGCAGGTTTGTCTCAGTGCTGCAGGTACACCTCGCCGCGACGCCACCTCCTACGCAGCTGCGACGATTTGCTGGCACTGGAGGTCATCTGTGGTGCAAGGAAACCGCGAATTCAATCAGACCGGGCCACGTCCGACCGCTGAATCACGAAACCGCAAGGAGTACTGGCATCAGCGATCCGACGATCGAGGCAAGGGGCATCCCTCACAACTGGTTGGAGCCTTGCTACCAGGCGGCCCTCCACACTTCAGTCTTGATGCAAGAAGCACCCATTGGTCTATCAGCTGAGCGCAGTACAAAAAAAAAAAAAAAACAATTCTCGGCACAATTATACGAGCAGTGTCCTGGCTGTCAGTGGGAGCAGATCGGCGACGTCGACGTGCCCTGAACAGCACTTACGTGAAGGTTCAGGCAGGGGCCTAGAAGAGGACACTGGCAGGCTCAAACGCTCGCTGCCTACTGACATGCAGGTTCAGGCAGTGCAGAGTTGCTCCACGCACCCCTTGCAGCACCCTGCCAGCCTCTCCGGTTTCTGTGCACTCGGAGCTACAGGCCCAGGTGGCAGTGGACCATCTCGTCCCGATGCCTCTTAAGCACGCAAAAGTTTAAGAGCAAACAATGGACTTAGTGCAAGTATTCGCAGTCTTGGAAAATCTCCTTTAAGTCGCAATGCCACCAGCTTCAGAACTACTGTTGCACGGATGTCAAGCAATCGATCCGATTTTTCCTCAGTTTAGCACGCCATGCGGTTTTGAGAGTGTCGCAGCCACTGAAACTACACAGATGCTTGCAATGCATCTTTGTCGGCAAAAGGGTATGGAGCCTGGCAAGTCCATCCGGTGTCACGAATGTGCAATCAATGTCAGTTGTTGCACATGGCGCTCTGGCGAGCGCTTTAAGTCAGAGTCTAAGCCATTGAAGCTGCCGGTCACAGCCGAAGTGGCACTCAGTAAAGTACAGGCCGAACCTGGGCAGACGCTGCTTGGAAAGCTTGCATATGGCAGAATATTGCAGTAGACTGGTGGACGCCTGCAGCTTACGGGCTTACAGTATGGCCCGCCTCTTCCAAAATGCCGTGGGCTTAAACCGAAGATGCTGTGGGCTCAATTCCGTGCACACTGGTATTGTGTTATATATGGTGGTCAGTGCTGCAGCAGAAGGTCCCGTAACACCTCCACTCACCTACCCCATGCCATGGCCCTGAGTCGACTACTACGCCGGCGGAGCAGGTGGGGCCTTCTGCCAAGAATCAACCTGGAAAGGTTGAGCTTAAAGTGCTAGGGTAAACTTCTTCTACAGACGCGTCAGCGTGAGATGGTCACAGTACTCGCCTGGATCGGCTGGCCATTGATCGTCTGGCCTGGCAGAGATTGCATCGCAGCAGCCACCTGCCCAAGAGCTCAGAGTTAGCGTCGGGACAGGCTGAGCAAATTCGAGATCTACAGGCACTCCTCCTCTGCCGTCTTGTAGGCAATCATGCCCGTGCCCTTGCCTGTGCTGAAGGACTCCAGGACTTTCAACGAGTCTCAATTCCTATACCCAGCACACCTAGCATTACCTCGTGTATCGTGCCTTTGCCACGGAAGACCTCAACCCAGCGGGTGGCGCCCGCGGTGTTTCCCAAGGTCTGCAGATCCTTCCAGGTCGCATCCTCGGGGAGGTTGCCAATCCAGATCCTGCAAAAGCCAGTGCTCAAGCTTAACCAGTGCAGGCGCAGCGCTGGAAAAGCTGACTCAGTCAGATCCGAGCCCACGACTTCATCTCAGGCTCAATCCTCACAACAAGCCCCTCCACACACATCTATGTGGAGCCATGCGTACACTAGTAGCAACTCTGAATCCGGTTCCGACGAGGTTCCGAGGGCCGCGGCGTCGACCAAAGCCCTTGCCCTTGCCGAAGCCCTTGAACCACATCATCGGCGGCGCCCAGCCCCACCCAGGACCCCCCCAGCCTTTGCCATTGCCTCACACGCCCAGGGCTCAGGTCTCATGACACTTTTTGGCTTCGCCCTTCTCCTTCCGAGCCTCCGAATCCCATGATTGCCGCAGTCTCTGAGGCTCGTCTAACAGCGCTTGAGCACTGCAAAATGGCATCACAGTCTGCTTCGGTGCGAACGTTCAACCTACACTGCAGAGAAGCATCTCTCTCGTTCCCCTAAGACGCCTCTCCTGTGAAAGTTGAACCGAGGCCGGCGAAGGAATTGGAGAGTTGTGGGGTCGGTCGAAATTGTTTCCGCGATTAGACTGGTATAGTGCATAGTCGCGAGTGCCGTTGAACCGACGGCATTTGGCTCAAGCCCCGGCATGGGGCCCGAAATCCGACGGCCCCCTCTCTTTGAGGACGCCTCCTTTCGATCTCTCTTTCTCCCTCTCTGTCTTTTTCTTTCGCCAGGGCTAGGGGCAA